TTGACATATTTTTTTCTGAAAATTTAAAATAATTTTCACGACCAGATCATTTTTATCGAATTTTATTATCAGGACTAAAGTGAGCGTTATCCTAATCTCAAATACTATTTTAGCTCCCATTAACTTATAACGATGAAATGTTTTTCATATACTTATCTTTACTTCTATATATTAGTCTTAGATGAGACTAGATTATTAGATTGTGATGACTAGATGACATCAAAATGATATTAGCCATTCATATTTTCCCCCATCAACATTAGTCATTTGGGTTGTGATATACACACACCCCTTTTTACTTCTCACACCTCTTATTAATTTTTGTTATTTGATATTCTTCAATTCATTCGATCCGACGACCGAAAATTAAGAGGATATATGAGAAGTAAAAAATGGTGTGTGGATAGCACACCCCTAGTCATTTACTTAAGAAAACAAAATATAAGATACATAAATGGATAAGCAAAAAAAGCCACGCAACAACAAGAGTTCTTGAACTCCACCCACCGCAAGGGTGGATGTAAATTGGAACCAAAGTGGTCCTAGGACCACTCGGAGGGTGGAAAACTATCACATTCCGGCCCAGGCCCCCACCACATCCAGGGCTCGACTCTACCGTAACACGATATTGTCCGCTTTGGGCATCGACCACGCCCTCACGGTTTTGTTTATGGGAACTCACACGATAACTTCCTAGTGGGTCACCCATCCTGGGATTGCTCTTGCGTGAACTCGCTTAACTTCAAAGTTATGATGGAACCTGAAGTCAATGAGTTCCCAAAAGGCCTCGTGCTAGGTAGAGATGAGAATATACATATAAGGCTTACAGGATCCACTCCCCTGGTTTTGTTTCTGGGAACTCACACGATAACTTCCTAGTGGGTCACCCATCCTGGGATTGCTCTTGCGTGAACTCGCTTAACTTCGAAGTTCTGATGGAACCTGAAGTCAATGAGTTCCCAAAAGGTCTCGTGCTAGGTAGAGATGAGAATATACATATAAGATACATAAATGGATAAGCAAAAAAAGCCAGGCAACAACAAGAGTTCTTGAACTCCACCCACCGCAAGGGTGGATGTAAATTGGAACCAAAGTGGTCCTAGGACCACTCGGAGGGTGGAAAACTGTCACATTCCGGCCCGGGCCCCCACCACATCCAGGGCTCGACTCTACCGTAACACGATATTGTCCGCTTTGGGCATCGACCACGCCCTCACGGTTTTGTTTCTGGGAACTCACACGATAACTTCCTAGTGGGTCACCCATCCTGGGATTGCTCTTGCGTGAACTCGCTTAACTTCGAAGTTCTGATGGAACCTGAAGTCAATGAGTTCCCAAAAGGCCTCGTGCTAGGTAGAGATGAGAATATACATATAAGGCTTACATGATCCACTCCCCTGGACGATGTGGGATGTTACAAAAACACGCATATGAAGGTCATCTGAAGATCCTTTGATTGTTTGGTACGTACGCATATCTCAACAGGCTGCATCAACATCACTCGACATATATTCTCAATAGCATTCACCAGATTGCTTCAACATATATTGTAACTTGTTGACATATAGGCAACAACATGATTTGGTTTCGTCAATAAGCCCATTAAGTGTTCGACGAAATGCCTCAATTGGATAAAATGAATTTTTTTAACGCGCTCCGCGCTTTTTTTCTTTAAAAAACGTGAACTTTTAATGTTGGGACACCCAAGTTTCGAATCTTGGATCCCCCATTGCCTGCATGCCTCCCTCACGACGAAGCAGAATTGACAACATAAACCCATCTTCTCCCTTTACCCTTTATTCATCGCGCCTCTTTTATCCAGCAGGTTTCAGGCCATCGTTATATAACTAGGGTTTTCAGGTGGCAGTGAATCCGTTTTATATGAGTCATACTTAAAATAGAATTTATCAACCCAATCATCCATTATATTATCACACGTGTTGTAACCCTTGTTTTAAAAATTACTTGAAAGCATCCTTAGTCAGTCTATCTTACTTTTTTCCATAGAAAAGCATTATCAGCACTCTTTTCATTTTCTTTTGTTAGGGATCTGCTATATTTTCTTAGGTATACGCAATAAAACAAATCCATTTTATTGAAAGAAAAATAAAGTCGATAGTAAAAGCAATACATTACTCATTGTTCACACAAAACAAGAAAATTGTGGAATCAAAAGCAACAAAAGAAATCACCAAAGGTTACAACATGGCATCCAAACAAATTCTAAATGCTCAAGAACACTAGCAACTTGCTATTAGTATAGTTGCATTTTATTTTCCGACATTTGAAAGATACTTATAGTATGAATCTCCAATGACATAGGGAAGCAAACCTTTTATTTATTGAGTAATTATAGAGAAGGATTAGATGAGATTTACCCTTCAGTAATGGTCTAATGCAGAGAAGCATATGCAAGCAGGTCCTGGTTGGTTTCAATCATGACCATATCTTCTTTTTTCAGTGTTATGTATGCATCGATGCCAATGCCATCACTTGCATCCAACAATAACATTCTGTTTTTGAAATCTTCATTCCAAGGGATGCGAATGCATGATGCCTTTCCCCATCCAAAATTGGCCGAGCCGAAAGGAAACCTACACAAACTGGTGCACATATAGTTGTCCATATCATCCTTTTGAACGAGCTCACTATACTCCTTCAGGAATTGAACTACTTCCTCCCCTCTAATTTCATTGGCATATTTTACCTTAAATTCCTCAACGCATTTCCTCATTTTTGCAACCAAGGTTTGAAGATCATATACTTCATTTTCTTCGATCTTCGTCAAGGTAAAAAACACAAAATTTCCTTGTAAGTTTTCTGCGAAGGGCTGAGCCAATATTTTCCTCAGGTTCGTAGAGGACCGCCATGTGGATGGCCTTGCAAAACCCAAGTTCGATCTTGATGCTTCCAATGCGGATTTCCAAATGAGCGCGGAAACTGCTTCAACTCGCGTCGGATTTGGCACTGTGGCACTGGCAGCTTTGGCCTTGAGAGCAGCAATCTTTGAGGCATCAAACACAAGCCTCCTTCCGATAACATTGTCAATAAAAGGTAGCGTGAGGGGGGTCTTCTTAACAAATTCTTGTGGTGGGAACAAAGTAGCTGCAACACCAAATTCTGTAGGAAGTACTACGTGATGGTCAGTAGTGCTGGCAGTGGAGCGGGCAATTTCAGCCCAGCTTTCGATGAATTTGCTGTTCGCTAAGGCATCGGCGACCTTATGTGAAATGCTGACGCCAATTGCCAATCCACCACATTTGAATACGTTGGCCTGGACTAGTACAAGATGCCCTACTTGTGCTTGTTTGGAACGCATAGGAGTTGGAATCAGTTGTCTCAGGATCTCAGAATCGGGTTTGTCCAGGATCTTGGACATGGGACAGTTGACTTGGGCTTCAAGAAATAGAGCTCCGCGGTCATCGCAGTTGATGGAAACGTTATTTTTGAATTCCCCTGCAAAAGGGTAGAAGATAGTGAGGGCCTCAGATAATGATTTCTTTAGAAGCTCGGACTTTTCAGCGACCAAAGAATGTTCATCACTGCTGCTAGGATAGAAGAGAACTTGTGGCATATACAGTTCAAGTATAAACTGGTCAAAAAGGGAGAGGCACAAATGTCTAAGGTGGTGAGGAGTTGGAGAGGATGGTTTAATAATTTCTTTGTGAATTACGTCAACCTTGATCATCTTTTTATTTTCTCCAAACTCCTTAGTTACAACTTTGAGTTTGATCAGAACGGATGCTGGAGTTGCTTGGCAACTGAAAAGCCCAAGGTCAGTCCCCAAGCGATGGATGAGTTGTATAGAACTAACAGAGTGAGGAGTGGAGAAGATGATAGAGAGAGAGAGAGAGAGAGAGGGGGGGAGGTAGCTGGAGTGTGTGGAGAAGTTTACAGAGAGGTTCCTGAGCTGATGACTGAATGAATAAATTATTGGCTATCATTAGTCGTTGCCAAAACTGAGAAGAGTGGGGAGTGGAGAAGATGAGAGAGAGAGAGAGAGAGAGAGAGAGAGAGAGAGAGAGAGAGAGAGAGAGAGAGAGAGAGGTACTGGAGTGTGTGGAGAAGTTTACAGAGAGGTTCCTGAGCTGATGACCGAATGAATAAATTATGTGTGTGTACGGAGGTCCCCATAGCAGCTCTGCCGACGTGAAATTGATTTATAGGGTTTTTGAACATTAGTCCTTGCAAAAGATTAAAATTTAAAAAAAAAATTAGTGTTAGATTACATATTCAATTTAATCCCTTGAAGTGTACTCTTATCAAAATTTATATTCAATTTTTTTTATTTAATGTGCATTTTTATTTAATCTCTCCACATTAAATTTTAATTTTATTAATATGCATATATTTAGTTCTTTAATTATAAATGAACATAAATAAGAAAATATTAAAAGAAATTTGTGATACAAAATATATAAATACATGATTGTACTGTGCCGAAATATATATAATTGACTTTTTTGTACCTACATGATTGTACCGAAATATATTATAATGAACCTAAATATATGTACCGAAATGTATTATATGAATGTACCTAAATATAATACCGAAATGTATGTACCAAAATGTACGTACCGAAATACAGTATCGAAATGTACGTACCGAAATATATGTACCAAAATATACGTACCGAAATGTATGTACCGAAATGTATTAACCGAAATGTATTATATTGAATTAATGTACCTAAATATTAATACCGAAATGTATGTACCAAAATGTACGTACTGAAATGTATGTACCAAAATATAGTATATTGAATTAATGTACCTAAAAATCAATACTCAAATGAGAGGTATTAGGTTCGAATCTCGTGGATGATGAATTCGATACCAAATTAAGTTGTCCATGTGGCTTAGCCGTCTTAGTGTAAAATATATCGTTGTTGTGACAGCCCGTCCCGTATTATCATTTTCGTGAGTGTGAAGTTAATAAAATGCCTTGAGCGTTTTAAATATTTAGAGTATTAGGGTTTATCTAGTTACCCTAATTTTTAAAAGTTGGTTGATTTTGGCATTTTGTTTGTTTGTGTTTGAATGATTGTGGCTTGTGGACCACATACACTCACGGGATACACAGAAATCACCCCTTTTTCTTCTTCTTTTCCGTGATTCCCTCAAACTCACTCTCTCTATTCCCTTCGAGCTCTCTCTCTCTCTCTACACACGGACCATCACCAAGGACCTTCAAAACTTCACAGATCGAGGAAACAAAGACCACCATCGTCTTCATCTCGTCGATACAAGTCCATCCATACTAGTTTCAGGTAAGAAGTCCACCGTTTTCACGTCAAACCACTTACCTCCGTTATGGTCACTGTTCATGCAATAATTATTGAGTGATTTTTAGGGGTTTTTAAGCTCATAGGAAGCTTTTGAATTATTCGTACTTTCCTTATAAATATCGCTTCCGCACTGTGCACATGGCTACGTCATGCTCACGTGACGGCCAGCATGTCTTGACTTCGGTCGAGGTGTGTCAGTTGCACTATAAAAAATAAAAAAATAAAAAAATAAAAAAATAAAAAAATAAAAAAATAAAGAAATAAAAACTCAAATGTGTGTACCAAAATGTATGTATATGTTTGTATCGATGAATTAATGTACATATATGTTTGTATCGATGGATATACCGAAATATTCAAATATATTAACGTACCTAAATGAAGAACATACAAAATTGTTATCGGACTATATATTATAAAAAAAAAATTAGTTGCCTAAATGTAGACATTAAAATATGAATAAAAAGATAAATAAAACATCAAAATATAACTAATAAATGAGATGATTAAATGTACTAGGGACTAAATTGGATTTTAATCTTACACAAGGTTATAGTCTAAAACTCATCTTTTTTAAGGATTAAAATGAAGTTTTCTATTGATTTATACACACATATGTACACTCCTGAAAATTAAATTGCCCAGGAGGGTTTTTTTTCATATGAATCTTCGTATTAAATCTAGATAAGCAAACTTAAATAATTTTTTTTTACACGTAAATAAAATATTAATTGATAGAAGAAAGAGGCGTTGTGTCGAATTCTTCTATATGGAAAATTCTAGTCTCCTCATCAAATATTTAAACTCAAAAAATTCAATTGCATAAATTTTAATAACTTCAAAGGGGTTTGAGTAATTTCTCACTGCACCTCCTTGTCACCTGAAGATTCTTCTTCTTCATGGAGCTAAATGAATCCATGCCGATCTACCCGACCCGATTCTTCCCCATAGCCTCTTCGGGCTCGAAAATGATGGATAACTGTCACTTACTTGTCATTTTTATTTATTTATTTATTATTAAACCAATTAATTACTTAGCACTAAAAAAATTTAAGATTATGTAGTTTCAAAAATTGGGATCTCATTCTTTTGGAACACGTCAAGCACAAAATCAAAAGAAATTAAATTGTGGACCATCGTGCTCTTTGGACAGTGAGTGCTTGGACAGTGCCCTCAAATAACTACAACTCTATTATTGTACGGCAGTTTGTACAACTCTATTATTGTACGCGTGTACAAGATGTTTTTCGAATCATAGCGTGATACGTGCGATTTACATATTTTAAATGTATTTATATGCGTAAATTGACAAAAGAAAAGTTAAATATTTGAAATAAAAGAATAATCTTAAATCATGCTAGAAGAAACATATTATAAACCAATCAAAACAGCTACATTCGGTTTCTATTGAATTTACATTAAAAATAGAGAAAATAATATTTAATAAACAACTGATTGAATCATATTATTGCTAGCCCATTATGAGGCTAAGCCCACCACTCCTTCCCTTAGTGTAGATAATATCGTTTGTTAAAAAAAAAAACTAATTATTTGACAACTAATTTAATCACATTATTATGCACGTGTCAAAGACCTTGATTAGAACTGACATTACACGCCTCTTAAAATATTTTAAACGTGTTTAAAAATAGAGAAAATAATATTTAATGTACAACTGATTGAATCACATAGTACTTCCTACAGAATTCGGTGTCGCAGCTACTTTGTTCCCACCACATGAATTTTTTCGAATTTTTGAATTTTTGAATTTTTGAATTTTTGAATTTCCGAAAAAATATATATATATATATATATATATATTTTAAAGCTTTGTAGGTGAAACTTTGGTGTTGAAGCTTTGTAGGTGAAGCTTTGAGGTTGAAGCTTTGTTGGGCACCATGAATTGATTTTGCTTCACACTATCTTGATCAAGATAGTGTGAAGCTTTTGTAGGTGAAGCTTTTGTGTTGAAGCTTTGTAGGTGAAGCTTTTGTGGGTGAAGCTTTTATGGATGAAGCTTTTGTGGGTCAAGCTTTTGTGGGTCAAGCTTTTGTAGGTGAAGCTTTTGTGGGTCAAGCTTTTGTGTTGAAGCTTTTGTGGGTGAAACTTTTGTGTTGAAGTTTTTGTAGGTGAAGCTTTGGAGTTGGAGTTTTGTAGGTGAAGCTTTGGAGTTGAAGCTTTTGTTGGATACCATGAATTGATTTTGCTTCACACTATCTTGATCAAGATAGTGTGAAGCTTTTGAGAATTTGTAATTGTCCTCCATTGATGAAGCTTTTGTTGGTGAAGCTTTGGAGTTGAAGTTTTGTAGGTGAAGATTTGGAGTTGAAGCTTTGTAGGTGAAGCTTTGGAGTTGAAGCTTTGTAGGTGAAACTTTGGAGTTGAAGCTTTTGTTGGGTATCATGAATTGATTTTGCTTCACACTATCTTGATCAAGATAGTGTGAAGTTTTTGAGAATTTGTAGTTGTCCTCCATTGATGAAGCTTTGTTGAATTTCCCTTTTTTTTTTTTTTGGGAAACTAGAAATTTGAAAATGTGGGAAAGATAACATATACAAATTTTGCTTCCACACTGTTGAGCAAGAGATTGTGATGCAAGCCACACCTTGTAGTAGCCGAAGGTTTGGATGAACCATATAAATTGAATTTGCTCCGAAGGTCTGAGAATTGTAGTTGCCCTATATTGATGAAGCTTTTGTTGACACCATAAATTGGTTTTGCTTCACACTGTCTTGATCAAGAGTGTGTGAAGCTTTTGAGAATTGTGGTTGAACTCATTTGATGAAGCTTTTGTTGGCACTATAAAATAGTTTTGCTTCACACTGTCTTGATCAAGAATGTATGAAGCTTTTGAGAATTGTGGTTGCCCTCCATTGATGAAGCTCTTGTTGGCACTATAAATTGGTTTTGCTTCACACTTTCTTGATCAAGAGTGTGTGAAACTTTTGAGAATTGTGGTTAAACTCCTTTGATGAAGCTTTTGTTGGCACCATAAATTGGTTTTGCTTCACACTGTCTTGATCAAGAGTGTGTGAAGTTTTTTAGAATTGTGGTTGCCCTCCATTGATGAAGCTCTTGTTGTTGGCACCATAAATTGGTTCTGTTTTACACTGTCTTGATCAAGAGTGTGTGAAGCTTTTGAGAATTGTGGTTACCCTCTATTGATGAAGCTCTTGTTGGCACCATAAATTGGTTTTACTTCACACTGTCTTGATCAAGAGTGTGTGAAGCTTTTAAGAATTGTGGTTGAACTCCTTTGATGAAGCTCTTGTTGGCACCATAAATTGGTTTTGCTTCACACTGTCTTGATCAAGAGTGTGTGAAGCTTTTGAGAATTATGGTTGCCCTCCATTGATGAAGCTCTTGTTGGCACCATAAATTGGTTTTGCTTCACACTGTCTTGATAAAGAGTGTGTGAAGCTTTCTACGAGTTGTAGTGTTTGCATTATTACAGAGGGGAAATGTTTGAAGTAGATGCAAGAGGGCTGAATAGCTTGATCTTCGTATACCATGCATTGAAGTTGTTGTTGGCTTGCAATAAGACTTTGTTGGTGACTATAACTCTTGTTGGGCATAAGTGCTCCTTTAGTTGAGTTGTCAAGCTTGAGGGTTTTTGATTATTTGTGAATGCTAGGAGTTTACATGTACAAGTTGTACCACTCGTCTTTTGGTAGGTGGAATGAATGGTGAGTTGCTTTCATCACTTGGTTGGTGGTACGAAGGTGAATTCTTTTTTCCCCTGGTTGGTGGCATGAATGGCAAGTTGCCAAATGATATTAGAGTACGGGTTGTACATTACATCACTTGGTTGGTGGCATGAAGATGAGTTCATTCTTCACCTGGTTAGTGGCATGAGTGGCAAGTTGCCGAATGATATTAGAGTACGGGTTGTACATTTCATCACCTGGTTGGTGGCATGAATGGCAAGTTGCCAAATGATATTAGAGTACGGATTGTACATTTCATCACCTGGTTGGTGGCATGAAGGAGAGTACGGGTTGTACATTTCATCACCTGGTTGGTGGCATGAAGATGAGTTCATTCTTCACCTGGTTGGTGGCATGAGTGGCAAGTTGCCAAATGATATTAGAGTACGGGTTGTACATTTCATCATCTGGTTGGTGGCATGAAGGAGAGTACGGGTTGTACATTTCATCACCTAGTTTGTGGCATGAAGATGAGTTCCTTCTTCACCTGGTTGTTGGCATGAGTGGCAAGTTGCTAAATGATATTAGAGTATGGGTTGTACATGTCATCACCTGGTTGGTGGCATAAAGGAGAGTACGGGTTGTACATTTCATCACCTAGTTGGTGGCATGAAGATGAGTTCCTTCTTCACATTTCATCACTTGGTTGGTAAGAATAAGGGCAAGATGTCTAGGCACATTGTAGCAAGTGTCGAATGACACAAAATATGTTGAACCCTTTCAAAGCACAGTTGGCTTATGTATGAATGTGTTAGAATGTATGATTGAACGAATATACTGTGAAGTTGTTCGTTTATTTGTATAGTCTTGTTGACATATACTTAGACTTTGTTTCATGTTGGAAGTATTCATGTTGAAGCTTTGAACCCGAGTGTTTCATTGCTAGGAATGTAAGAGGATTAGGATCGAGTTGTCTAAATCACCTTTTTATTGAATTCATGCCAAATAGTCTTCGTTACATAGGATGACGAACGGCTGAAGCTTAACACTTGTACAATGTGAGTTTACTTGTCATAGTACTTTAAGTGATCAACGTTCAATGGATGGCTAAGGGTCTTGCCATCGAAGCTTCTAAGCTTGTAAGAGCCAGGGTGATTGATGCCAACAACTTCAAACGGTCCATCCCAGTTTGAACTAAGTATTCCTTCACTTGGGACTCTATCGCAGAGTAATCTTTTCTTCAATACCCAGTCCCCCACTTTGAAAGAACGAGGTTTGACCCTTGAGTCATAGTAGTCGGAGATGTGCTGCTTGTAGGCGACATTCCTCAAGTGA